TATTTTACAGTGGTATTTCTATATAGCTCTACAATTGATGTATTGAGCACTATTTTAACAGTGGTATTTCTATAACTATCTACAATTGATGTATTGAGCACTATTTTAACAGTGTATTTCTATAACTATCTACAATTGATTATTGAGTTTTTATATCATTATATATTGTTATAAACATTTTATAATCAGAGTAAAAACTTACCATGACAAAAACATCTTCCTTCGTGACAAATTGGTCTTTCGTGTGGATGGCAGTTGGTCAAATGTCCACATTCGTGGTCACCATGACAAGCAAAGGCAACAACTGAATAAAAGATAGTTTAAGTAAAACACAATTAAAGCTGAACCCGATAGATTTTTCCAAATCGGACATTTCATTTACATCTTATAAAAGCTATCAATTAAACTATTTGGATGTTATTTATATCACCAGAAGGGACAGTTAGCAGACCGATCATCGGTGCACCAACTTCTTAAATTATAACACGATAGGTTCCTTGTAGAATGAAAACACCAGAGGAATCAACAGCCAAATGGTTTGAAATTCCAAGTCAATAGACATGAACTGAGCTCTGTTCAAATTCAAAGAGTGCTAATCCATCTCGTACATCCGTGCCTTTATAAATCAAAATTGATTTCTTTTACACTCACCAACTAAAGCAGCGAGAACAATCAACAGTTTCATCTTGTTTGATTTTGTTGACAATGGTCTTGACTTGATCAGATCCCCTTTTTATAGGCATTCAAAATACTTCGGGCTGGTTACTAGAAGTAGATTAAAACTTTGGTCTGTTTTGATAAACCAAGGCCTTAAAACTTGGACAGATATTTGTATTTATCTGATACGGAAGTTATAGATCCTTGATAAAACACTATCACATGGTCAGCGGATTTTTGTCACCAGCTAGTCTTGTTTGGTCATTAAGGTTTATGCCTGCTGTAACATGCGATTTGCGAAATTAGAAAGAATCATTCGGTAATCGTCGTATTTAGGTATACCACTGAATATAATATGCATTGATGGTGTAGACTTTCTGAGGTGATATTTGGATGGGATTTCAGACATAAAATCTTGCTTTTTTGATGTGGCATCTGACACAGGTGTCGTATTTAGGTATTTAGGCGACTTGTCGTTCGGATGGAATAATATACCCAGACCCATGAGCTAACAAAAAAAAAATTGTGGACGTTTTAAATAGTTGGAAATAGAAAACTAGTATGCTAATTCCTCTATCCTGGCAAACTTTCTCTAGTAGCCAACTCTTTCATTTCGTTTCATATTTTAAATTAAACATATGTAAGAAGTAAACTATATTTTTTATTAATAATGTCCGTTTAGTGGTGGTTGCAGTGGCAGTGACCGTGTTTGCAAGCTGGGGTTCCACCATGTTCACAAGTACAGTTGCTGAAATCATCATCAGTACATGTTCCTGGTTGTCTGAAAACGTGGTGGTTGCAGTGACAGTGACCATGTTTGCAAGCTGGGGTTCCACCATGTTCACAAGAGCAGTTGCTGAAATCGTCATCAGTACATGTTCCTGGTTGTCTCTTTCCTATGTGGTGATCTGAAAAATTATTAATTCCTGTAAAACACCATATATAAATACACACAATATGGGATGGGGAACACGCGTCAGATGTGTGATTATCCGATTAAAAAAACTGCCAATTTTCAATTATTCACAAACTTACCATTACAAATACATCTTCCATCATGACATTGTGGTCTTTGGTGTGATTGGCAGTTGGTCAAATGTCCACATTCGTGATCACTATGACAGGCGAAGGCAACAACTGAAATACCAGATTGTACGATTAGAGCAATGGTTAGTCAATAGTAGCTTCAAATCCTCACAGGTCGGTTATGAAGGTAACAACATATAAAAATGAGAAAACATTATTGCAACATCGAATAGATCTTCCGTGCATGAATTATAAGCTGATGTCTTTTCGATTTCGTCGGTAAATATAATTCGAACGATTATATTTGTGAGAAATGAAATAGAAGCCTTAAAATATTTTTAATAGCTTTAATTAATATTTAAACATTAATGTAACTTTGCACAACTGCCTAACCTGATACACAATACAAATAAATATACCAAGTACTGACGATCCAAACCGCAAAACGAAACCCGAAAATCCAAACAATATATTGGCGTAACATTGGTAGCATTTAATTAACTTTTCACATGAATCAGTATATCAATCATAAGTGAGTAAGTATTTCATAATAACAAAGCAATACGTACCAACTAAAGCAGCGAGAACGATCAAAAGTTTCATCTTGGTTGATTTTGATAATGATCTCACCTAGAACAGGTCAGCCTTTTTATAGAAAACTTTTTATATTTTGACCACGACAGATGTCAGATGAATACTTTGGTCTGATTTATAATTCACGAACTTTGGCATTGCGTCAAACCTTGGCCTTTATCATATCGACCTACGACCAAGTGTGGTATGGTTTAAACTTAAAAGAGGCTCAAACTTCTGTTGCCATGTTAGTGCAAAACGCATGTTGTGTTCATTTCATTAAAATTTCATTAGATTTGTAAGGTTGAACTGTCTAAATAAACTGGAATCGAAAAATTTCTGGGGGGACAATAGATTGCTTCGAAAAATTCCATCGAGCAACATGAGGGTCATATGATGTATTACTGACAGTGATACAGAGCTTTCCATGGACAATTTGGTGGGTTTTATATTTTAATTTTCTAAAGGGGAGTTTTTGTTATAATTACGCATCAGATATCCAATTATTCTCTTAGAATCTTACACAATAATATTGTACTTAATATTCTATTAATAAATCAAATAATGGACACAATTTTATATATTACTCGTTAGTTTTATTACATACTACTACATTATAGTGAAGTGACTTCACCTGAAGATGACAAGGTAGATTGTTGCAACGTAGTTTGTAATAAAACTAAGGAGTAGTATACCATAAAATTGTGTCCGTTATTTAATGTGATCTCTATCCCTAAATGTCGCTAAAAAATTATCTATTAATCAACTCTACCCTTTTTTGCGGTCTACAATTTCATAGGTCAATGGAAAATTAGTCCAAAGTATGGCGGCACGGTTTTTGTTTTATCTTTTCAAAATTTGTATATAAAAGTCTGAAATTTAGTTTAAGTTTTATTACGAAAAAACATAGCTGATATGAAGTTGATTATATTTTTGGCGCTTTTAGGTGAGCACATAATTCGCAGTAGAAGGCCAGATATTCTCGTATTATACGATTTAGCTGATGATTTTTTTCAGATTGGGATCTCTTATAAAGGTGCTAATTGACGAAGTACCTATTGTGATGTGCCTAAAATCTGTTATGTCGCCAATTAAAAAATTGCACTCCTCTAAATTTAACCAAATTCGACAGCATGTGTTTGTTGTTGTTCCTTAGGTACTTGTACACGTTTATCTGTAGCGAAGTAGTTGTTCAAGCAGTTTAATGCTGTCACAATACGAATTTCATGCAAATTATATCGTCGATCGTTGAGAAAAGAAGATGCAACTTAACGAAACTTTGCAAAACCATTGACTTTTGTGAGACTGTGAACTATTGTCCATGATTTGTATAGTTTCTATTTTTTTTATGACTTTACTATTTTGTTACTGTAGGCGCTGTATATTCCCTCAATCTGCCAGGTTAGTTGCAATTTATTTAACCCTATAAATTTGGCTGTGCCTTAATTACTTAATGACTCACTTATCAAAAGCCCAGTATATATTTTGACTATATGACATGGTTACTGTTGAATTTATACTATCGAAATGGGTGTTGGAGATGAAAAATTGGTAGCTTGGTTGCCGCAATTCTTTAAAATCTATATATGTTTTAGATAATTGATATCCCAATTAGATACACAATATTGATCATGAGGAGAAAAGGAGTTTCAGACTGATACTTCCCTGACTGCCGAGCTATGATCATTATCATTACTTTCACATATGATATACTTTCAGTCAGAGCAGCTGGTGATAAGTGTAGCCAAGATTCAGACTGTGTTTGCGACGATGGTTTCACTGCAAAATGTCACGACAATAGCTGCCGATGTCGCCATCACGGACATCANCCCAANAAACACGCTGGTAGAGCTGCTGGTGACTCTTGCTCAGCGAATTCTGATTGCGAATGTCCACATGGATCTGTTGCTCCTTGTTAGCGCTTTGTATAGGTAAGAATTTTGTATCCACTTTGTTACTAAATATATGCGTTCTTTCGTCTTATGGTTGTGAGGCCAGTGCGAAAAGTATTCTCCTGGACGTCTACATAATAACTTATGCAATTTTCCCTTCTGCCCTGTAGTCACGAGCTTTTTGCTCAAATCCAATCATGGATACTTGTATAGCACTGTTTCTGGTATAAAATCTCAACTGGAAGTTACACCAATTCTAATTTGATGAGTCTTCTACTATACTATTATTGCTCCAGAGTTTGCCATGATTTAGACCACATTCTGGAACTGTTTCAAAGCGTGAACAGACTAGGTTTAAACTATGTTAAACTTTAATTATTACCTTCCAGGCGCTGTTTATTGTACCGAACTATCAGGTACGTATTAGTGAGAATTTAGAATAATGTATGCACTTTTGAAATATACCAAGTACTAACAATCTAAACCTCAAAACAGCTACTTTTTCACATGAGGAAGTATATCAATCATAAATAAGTATGTATTTCATAATGAAGAAGATACTGTTATAATATGAATACCTTATTTTACTTTTGTAGTATTCATGTTGTTCTTTTTCAGTTCGAGCCGCGGGTGATGCCTGTGACGCCAACAACCCATGTACATGTGCCGATGGATTTACTGCTAAATGTCATGAAAATATTTGCCGATGTCACCATCACGGACACGTTACCCATCATCCACACCATACCAAACACCCACACACAACTAAAGCTCCAGCCGTAAGAGCCGCAGGTGATAATTGTGCTGTTGTATCGGACTGCAAATGTCCAGACGGATTCAATGCTAAATGTCATGAAAATATTTGCCGATGTCACCATCACGGACACGTTACCCATCATCCACACCATACCAAACACCCCCACACAACTAAAGCTCCAGCTGTCAGAGCCGCTGGTGATGCCTGTGCTGTTGTAGCAGACTGCAAATGTCCAGACGGATTCAATGCTAAATGCCATGAAAAGATATGCCGATGTCACCATCACGGACACGTTACCCATCATCCACACCATACCAAACACCCACACACAACTAAAGCTCCAGCTGTCAGAGCCGCTGGTGATGCCTGTGCTGTTGTAGCAGACTGCAAATGTCCAGACGGATTCAATGCTAAATGCCATGAAAAGATCTGCCGATGTCACCATCACGGACACGTTACCCATCATCCACACCATACCAAACACCCCCACACAACTAAAGCTCCAGCCGTAAGAGCCGCTGGTGATGCCTGTGCTGTTGTAGCAGACTGCAAATGTCCAGACGGATTCAATGCTAAATGCCATGAAAAGATATGCCGATGTCACCATCACGGACACGTTACCCACCATCCACATCATACCCAACACCCACACACAACTAAAGCTCCAGCTGTCAGAGCCGCTGGGGATGCCTGTGCTGTTGTAGCGGACTGCAAATGTCCAGACGGATTCAATGCTAAATGCCATGAAAAGATCTGCCGATGTCACCATCACGGACACGTTACCCATCATCCACACCATACCAAACACCCCCACACAACCATAGCTCCATAAAAAGGTAAACTTCCAATCACGTACTGATCCATATTATCCATCTGACCGTACTTCATTTTAGAGCAGTTCACTACTATACAACTGTCTGCTTGTATGGATATTTATTGCCAGTATCGTAATCCATATCAAACAACATATCAGATGATGGTGAAAGGCACCCTTTCGTGCAGAGGTATACTGACTTTTTGACCATTATTAGCAGATCTTGATATCGCAATAACGAAGAATCCGCTTATACTACGAGTTTATAGTTCAATATCGTCCTGACTATTGATAAAGAATGTTCTTGGCACATAAGACTTTTCTTCCTGGGGTATCACCATAGTACTTATATTATTTTATCCCGGAAAATCCGATGGTTTTACTTGGCTAGCTCTAACTAAAGGGATCGTGTAGTTTGCATTCCTTTTAATGTTAAATCTTTCATTCTTTACTGTTTTTCAGAGGCGTGGCAGGAAACAGCATCAAAATATTTAAATGATTTTAAAAACAAAATAAAGGGTTTATGCATTTGTCTTACAGTTGTAAAATTAATTCATCCGTTTCATGAGCTGGGTCGATTTAACCAAAACCTCTGGCTCTGATCATGAACGTAGTGACGAGCTCGAATAGGTTAGATATGAGACTGATAGTTAAGAATATTCAGATGCATCATCACCTTTATGTCAATTTTGGAAAGACCAACCGCACTGATAAATATTATTAAGGCAGATTTGTTTAGTCAGATCTTTAACATTATCGTAGAACCGGGTATTGCGCACGCAGTACACCATGTTCATTCTTTTCTAAACACATACTTATCGTTTGAGGAGTCCATACAATTATTGCTCCCAATTCTGTCACAAATTTGAATTTTGTGTTAATTAAATTGTTTTGCTGGTACGGATAATGTATTTTACGTTTTAAAAATAGAAACTTAGATACAGTATCACTGCAACATCTACCAGCAATATCTCTCACGAGATAATAATCTAAAAATTAGACAGAGTCTATCAAAATAATCAAATGATATCAATTTGACCCAAATACTTTATCATATTATAATATACTATATTACGAACCGATACCACAAATTGTTTTAGTAAAAACAAGAGTGGGAGTGGTCACACCAAGGAGTGAACGGATAACGGTGTGTAGCTCCTCTTCTGCTAAAAATACCGTATGGAAATCGGGAATAGCAGCTAAATCATCATGCTGTTGGCCTTATTATTGTTTTTTCACCGAATGTGGCTTGGTGGAACGGACCTCATTATCTACCCTGTTTCTCCGGGCGTCGTCTCATCAGACAAATTCTCCGTTGAGGTCAAACAAGGATCGAGTGCATTTCAGGGCAGTTTTGTGTATATCAGTCATTCAAACAACCGAGTTGGTCAATCGCCCAGTGTTAAACCGAATAGAACGGTGTCATGGACTTCGTTTGGATTCACCGGAGATTCAGTTAATGTGAACGTAATAACTGTCAAGGATTTCAAAGAATGCACAGTACGTCCAGAGAGTTATGGAATTCCTTGTACAAGACTTCGAGAGAAAACAGCATCATTTGAAATGACTTCGAACACCCAGAAGATCTCAGTTGAATTCGATTATGACTACGGAAGTTTAAAATCGGATATCGTTGATAAGCTTCTGATCTTCGCTAATCCTCCGGAGACATATGTTCCAGAACCATCGAATCCAAGTGTTTTATACTATGGATGTGACGTTTACGACCTGGGCGGACAACTACAACTGAGTTCGAATATACGACACGTTTACCTCGCACCCGGTGCGTTCGTAAATGGTGGATTCAGGACAACAAGCAGACATCCAGTTACAATAAGCGGCAGGGGAATTCTGTCCGGAGCGAAATATCGATTTCATGATCCCCGATTTCTCTGGGGTTTGATAAATGTTGATATCGGAGTCAATCAAACAGTGGAAGGTATTACAATGGTCGATTCACCACAATTCTTTTATAGAGGATTAAGTTCCTATAATGTGGTCAGAAATATAAAAACAGTTGCTCCTTGGACGTATAATTCTGATGGAATTGGCATTGGAGCTTATGGGCTGGTTGAAGATTCTTTCTTTCAAACTAATGATGATACATTTAAGGTAAATATTTAGTTCCGAAAATTATCTGAAACGAACAGGTTTGACTAATAACATATCTGAAAGCTTCATCATTTCAGTTTAAAAGTTTACGTAATCATTTCAGCCATGTTTTTTGGCTGTTGTTTGAAAACTCATTTACAAACTCTACATACTGCATAATTTAATTGAGGTATATTATGCTATATTTTAGGTCTATAATGATGGATTAACTGTGAGACGGTGTGTAGTTTGGCAAGCCCAAAATGGAGCGGTATTTCAATTCGGTTGGTGGAAACAAAGAAAAGCTAAAAATATCTTTATCGGCGAAATAGACGTCATACACACAGATTGGTGTACCTTCAAGAAGCAACCATGTTCATTATCTCAAAATGATGCTGTATTGGATCTTGGTGGAAGAACCACTGCCTTCAATACCACCAACGTAACCATTTCGGATATTAGGGTAGAAGGACAATGCCCCAGGATATTTTATTTTGTAATGGACCCTATGGCAAAAGGGACAGTGACAAATTTCTACCTTAACAATTGGTCTATCCAGTCACAGGCTGAAAGCACAAAATTGTATAATGAATTGCGTGGGGCGTATCTTGGCGGTAGAATCAAATCGTGGTTCTTTAATAGACTTTACATATCTGGAAAATGCATCGTGGATCCAGGCTCGGCTAACATTCGTGTTGATCTCAACACGACATTCAATATAAACTTCAGTTGTGCATGATGTGTTTTAGATTTCAGGCTGTCATGTTCATTACGAGAGAAACACAATATATTATTATATTTTTCAGTCCTAGTTATCCTTGTGCCGTGCTTTCTCTTTAATTGAAGCTTGCTTACTAATTACCACGCAATGTGTTGTGTCCTGCTTTCATGTTATGTATTAGAATAATGAAGCTACAATGCGGTGCAATTTGCTATTAGTCGTACAATATCCTGTATGTACAATAATACTCGGGAATGGTGATTTGTTTCAAAAAGACCAATACACAGCACTAACATACCCAAACCTAAAATTGAGATACACATTACTTGCAAACAAAATTTATATTATTAGCGTGCTGTCCGATTATAAAATCGCCTTGATTAGGATTGTGGATGCATTGTCCTCCTATTATCAAGTTGTTGAAAATCCAATTCGATTCACTGGCATGACCCAAACCAGCTATATCGTTATGCAGGTTGTCGTCAGTTGGCTGTGATTCAACAGACCAGTTTGTAAAATGAATCTTGGATACTGAACCTACAGCATTGGCCGCCATCTTGAAATTGACAAGTCGCGGACATGATCCCTCTATTCGTATGTTGCTTATTGTGATATTGCTGACGTTGAAATTGTGTGTGTTTCCACCAAGATCAAAAACAGCATCATTGGCACTCAAATGACACTTCGTTCCTTTAAAAGTACACCAGTCGACATGAATGACATCAATCTCATTGACTTGAACGTTTAACATGGCTCTTCCACTCCACTATCCCAACTGAAAAACCATTTTGCCCTTGCCACATCTTTGAATATTGTTGTTGTCGGTGTATAACTTCAAAAGAAAATTAAGCACAACGTTATACATTACCCAATTATGTCCTGTTAGCTGAGAGTTTGAACATTTTATGAGGTTTCGTCTACTAGACGAGTAACTCTCTTGCAAATAACCTATTGTACATATTTAATAGGTAATCTGCAGTGTCATAAAATAACTTGATAAATCTTTAATGCATTATTAGTCGTAAGACTTCATTGTTTATAAACGAATTACAATAATTATGTCATAATGTTTACGCAATTCTTTAGAATAGAATGAACACAAACCTTCAAAGAGTCGTCGTTTGCCCAGATAAAACAGTCTTCAACCAAGGCATCGTGGCCCATTCCCAAACCGTCAGAGTTATATGTCCATGGAGCCGACATCCTAACATTGCGAACTGAATTGTGATCACTTAGTGCTCGAAAAAAAATTGCATAGGATCCACTAGTGTGATTCCTTCAAGCAGGTGATGACTTCCTTTATCAACGTTGATGATTACCCATTTAAACTTATGATCATGCCACTTGAAAGATCCTGTAGACAAAACCCCACGACCTCGAATCGTCACACCGTGATTAGACGTTGTTATAAAACCACCTTCAACGAAAGCACCGGGCGCTAAATATACGGTTTTAATGTTGCTGTGTAAGGACAGTTGTCCATTAAGGTTGTGGAATCCAGCTTTATAGTACAAGACGGACTTATCGTGTTCTTTCGGCACAAGTGATTCTGGTGGATTTGCGAATACAAGCATCTTGTCCGTAATGTCTGGACCTCCATTTTGGCTTCCATAATCATAATCAAACTCCACCGACATCATTTTTTAAGAATCCGCAACATGAGCAATTTTTGCACCAGTTCGCTTGTAATGATATCCATAACTTTTTGGTCGCACTAAACATTTTTGGAAGTCTTTTGGTGTGTATATTTCAACAGTGACTGCACCACCAGTAAATCCGAAAGATGTCCAGGAGACTTATCGCCCACCTTTCACATGAGACGCATCTTTTGTCCTGTGATCGGATGAAGAGAAGTAAGTGAAACTGGATTGCTTTTGACCTCTTTGGCTAAGGAAGACTTTAAACTTCTGCGAAACGTTCAAACCTTGTGGTACTGGATACACGAGTAAGTTACTGCTGACAGTACAGTACAGTACAGCAAACTTAACAATAACACGGTTCTCATTTTAGACCCAGCACAGAGTAAACCGATGAAGAGATTTAGTATGGAATGTATTAATCTAAATAACCTCCTTGTTAAGTTCCTAATGTCGCAATCATTCAGTTTGTGTTTTATATCAAACTTATCTTTACATTAAACACGTATGTATTGTCATACTGATCAGCACCATGGTGTTTGCACACTGATCGAATCTTTGGCCATATATGCCTCGAATAAGAACCCCCGTCATAATGTGCGTATGTTATTCAGCTCTTCCTCTCGCAAAAGGACAGGTCTTTTACAAAAGGCATTAGAAGAAGCAGGAATACAAAAACCCACTCCAAAAGGCAACAACACACACCTTCAAATGTCATAATAATTTGAAGCTTTGTATACCACTGGATGGAAAACCTTGCTTACCGCATGAGTAAAGATTTGCAAATATCAGCATAATTATTATTTTTAAGTCCATGTTTATAATGCTCTAGTTTGCCCTTTTAGTTATTGCATATAATATATTCTATATTGCTTTGGGTTATTATATTCACGTTCATGTACCGTGTAACCTCTTTACATTGAATTTTATAACACATCATTTTCTTAATTAAAATATTGGAGATACAATCTCTATTCATATCTGTATTTTAATGCATTTATGCAAAGGCTATTGTTAAGTAAACCGGTTTTTGTGTGTGAAACTTCTTTTGTTATACAATAAGTAAAATGTGCGAAGACTATATTGTATTGTATCGTTCAAAACTGTCGTTCTTTCTATGAGGCAAAAGCCTGTAGTCTTCAAACAGTAACCATCTTTACTTTCAATATTAATTAAGTGTTATGTTATTTGACGAAGTTACGGCCCTGTGTTCGATATTTTATTTATAAGGCTGGAAATATAAATAAACTAAATTAACTAAACATTAAATACTCCGTTGTACATTTTTTGTTTACCACTTCCTTTAGTTTTATCTCTGCTTTAGAGTTTAGACTATAAATGGATACTGCATAATTAGTAGTATGACGTGGTGCACAGTTAACAAAGCCATGTAGTTGGCAATGGGAGCAATTGAGGTTAATATGTTTTGTTACATCTGGTATTCACAGAATTTCTGAAGCAGGAAACGCAAATATACTATCAGTTCTTAGTTTATGGGCGAGATCTACAATTTCAGTATAATATAGTACTCTCTATCCTATACAGATTTATTTACTAGCAAATAATATGTCCAATTTATACAGATACATGTACATACATATTTAATAATACACTGTTGGTTAGTCGGTTAAAAGGTATATCAAATCACTTTAAACTAAGTTACACGGAATACATTCCTGGTCCTGATTGGGCTACTGAATGAAAGCTGTACCAAGAAGTGAACCATGGGTGAAACGTGGCTAGTACATCATTAATACAGAACTTTTGGTTCCGCAACCTGAAATAAAAATATAAAAAAGAATATACATCATGTGATACAATAATGACGTATGACATAAATAATTGGAATGGTACAAATCGATGCTGTAAGTGTCCCTGAGTTTAGAAAATCTCTTTATAATCCCTTTCAGCTGCTCAGTGGTGTTTGTTTCCAGTTTGTAAATAAAACGAAGTCTTTTTTTTTTTAAAGACTTAAAAGAAAGTACTGAACGTGACTCAACAATAACAATGATAAGGAGATTCGTAGAAAAATCCATACTTAAGGTCATGGTGCGTATCGCTCATCTAAATACATAAAATCAATTCCTAATTAGTCCACATTTTCAAGTTTTACAAAATTCAATTGCCAAGTTCTTACTCACCTCTGAATCATTTGTATGTACATTGGTGAGGGTGTGTCTCACTTTTGGAACTCTGTTAAGACAGTATTAGTAATTTTACTTTTGAAAAATGGTGGTTGACCGTCCGGAGATGTTATCGTTTGAACAACCACAACGGGGTCTTCTTTCCCATTCGGACTTGATACTCGATCTTTACTGCTTTTGGAATGCTGATTTTTTGATATGCTGTTTGAGTTCTCACGATGTGCTCCAGAGTTGTCCAATTCAGATACAACACTATTCGTGATTCTACTGTGTTGGAATGGCGTTTGCCCTTCCGGAGAGATTATGGTCTGGATTGCTAATACTTGTCCGTCCGAGTAATCTTTATTGCATTTGGAGTGATCTATGGTTAACTGCTGGTTATTGGCTTGATGGTGTTCTTCTGATTTATCTAATCCAGTTCGAACCGTATTTGTAATTTTACCCTTGAAAAAGGGCGGTTGGCCGTCCGGAGATGTTATGGTTTGAACAGCTACAACAGAGCTTTCTTTCCCATTTGGACTTGAAACTCGATCTTTGTGACTTTTGAAATGCTTGTGTTTTGATTTGCTATTTGATGAACCAGTGTTATCTAATTCAGATACAGCAGTATGCGTTATGATACCATGTTGATGCTGTTGTTCGCTTTCAGGAGAAGTGTAAGTTTGAATTGATAGCACGTGTCTATTCTTCTCCTTCGATACACTGCGTGGTCCAACGGGTTTATCCAAATCTTGTACAACTTTGTCCGTATTAGTACCATGTTGAAATGGACTCTGTCCTTCAGGAGAGATATACGTCTGAATAGCTAGAACCGTATTATCTTTTTCTTGCTTTCGATTCCTTCCTTTATGATTATGCATCTCATTTATTTGTCCTAAAACCATGGACTTATCATCCTCTAATAGTCCGTTAAGTCCCTGAAAACTACCATTTCTGTCATTTTGATATCCATTATCATCTGAGGCGCCTCTTTGTGCCATATCCAAGTGAAGGTTCTCCAACGGTATAAGTTCTTAATCCGATGAATTAAGGAAAGCTTTGTAATCCCGAAAGTAAGACAGTAAGGCTCGATAATTTCCTTTTTAACAATAACAAAATATTTTGACTGTTGAAATAGTGCTCAGTACATCAATTGTAGAGCGATATATCCTTTTCCCTTGTGATAATATATCTTAAAAACTTACGTAAGTTTTCTATTGGATGAAATTGGTCATCCATAATAGATTTGTGTTTATCCCATATACCACTCTGTTCTCTTGACGTAGATAGTCAATAACTTTCAATGTTTATGGATAAAATTATTTTATGACAGGTTCAATGTCCTCTTCGTTCCGCTCCACAATCGTGTCACGGGGTTGCTTTTCGCCTTATTTCATGGCTCAATAACAGTCATATACAGTCTATTGTTGATGATACGAAATAAATAAAAGTAAGTGAATCACAGTTAATGCTAGAAAATCATGTGAATTTTAGGGACACTTTTTGGGAGATGGTCTCCCCATCACACGAAGTACACGTTTTTTGAAGGGAGATAAATCTGTAAGACTCGTCTCTTTACAATACTAACAAGGATAGGCTATCATATCAAGCGACGACGATTGCTTGCTTATAAATACCACTTTTCATTTTGATACACTTCCTCATAAGAAAAGTTCATTGATGTTTTGATTCGTTTATGGGTTAGTTTGAACTTGGTTTATTTATACAAAAGCATTAGTCAGCGATATTCATTGACCCATCCTCGAAACCATATAGAACATATGTTGACGTACGGCACCATAGTGTCCCCGTGCATCCTCGCGAGTATTAGACGCAGATCATGTAAAGTTACAACCAATCCATTATTAGAACCTCTTTTTCACTCATCTCTGGCGTAAAAATCAAAAAAGGTTAGCTTTAATCTTACGTTAGTATAGAAATATGGGTTAGCTTTAATCTTACGTTAGTATAGAAATAGAAGTTATACGGTTGACCTAAAATGTACACATGATTACATATAAATTAAATAGAATTTTCAGCAACAACACTAGTCTACAAAATTTGAGAACCCACTTTTTCATCCAATCAGCATTAGCGATATTAAGTTTTACTATAACGTGAAAACAAAACTTCCAACTAATATATTTCAACTATTACCTTTAAGAAATAAACCCTATCAAAAGCAGTGGTCAACGAGACACATTTTATCGCAACAGTCGAAAGGGCAATATCTACATTAATATTATACATATTCATGTTTCATACATAGAACTATTCCCAAAGTTCTCATTTGGAAATGTTGACAAATTCTAACTCATATAGCCAAATCACATCCTTGGGAGTTAATACATTTAAAACAGTCTCTTTGGTATATAAACGAAGATGAAAGGCATTATATTAAAATATTCAGTTACATGTTTCAGTGGATTGTAGTCGAACTAGGGAATTATAAAATAACTTTTGGAAATGAGTGGAACTACTTCTGACTTCTACACTAAAACTCGGAACATTGGAATTCTGTCGACCTTGTAAATAACAACGACCAACGCATGAGAGAAAATGTAAATAATAAAGTAACATCCATTCAGCAACACCTGATGCCGATGTGACTGGGTTTTCGACTGCTGTTCTGTCTGAGAATTCACGACGTTTTTCATGTTTATTTGGTATATTACCTTTTGCCATTATGAATGAGATATTTCAGAAAAAGTAACATTATAATGTTATTCACTTCTTGGATTATACAGCAATCTAAACTTCTACTTAGCACATCGATTGAATTGCAGAACAACAGCACGTCGAACATTAATTCCAAAAGTGATAGGAATAGTTGGTAAAAGTTATTTAGACGCCTAAGTTTATTTCATACAAGCAAAGCCACATCCACTATAATGAAAAAAAGTTGAAACACTCAAAATATCGCATACTGTCACCCTACGTAAATGCCAAACGTCTATTCGACCTTAAGACGCCTTAAAACTGGAAAATAATTTGCAATACAATATAATTCCATCACAGCGTAAAATCCAATTTTCATCTCAATTATATCCTGAAATTAAAGTTGACAATTCGCCAAGAAATCTGAGATGAATGAAGACGGATGTTTCACTGGATCCAATGAAGGGAAAATTGACTCTGTTCTCACAACTAATGTTCTCTACATTAGTGTTCAGTTATAGTAATGAACAATTAAGACCTAGGGCCACTTTCCACCATTTGTGTTAACGCTTATCACAAGAATGCGATAACACAAAATCTGTCCAAGAGAAACAGGATTTATTTCGACCTGAACCTGCATTTGCTTTGAAGTTTTGTCAACAATATTATTGATTAAGCATCAAAATAAATGTGGAGCTTACGTGGTCAGTCCACATTTTAAAAAAACAGGCTATGGTTGTAACTTGCAGAATCTGGTTCAACGAGTTTTAAGATTTTCTAGCATCTGGTGATGTATGACAGAATCTGATAAATCGCTGGATCTCACTCGCTAGCTACTATCAGTTCTTCGTGTGCTAATTTCTGGTCAACATGTCGTCGATCAGATGCTCTTAAATCATCACAGACTCAGTTAGAGAAAACTACACATAAATCGAAGCGCTACTTTGAAACTATTTTAATCGTGGGTGTATGTTACTTTCCATGACAAATTATCATGTGCCCTTACGAAAAACTGAAAACATATACCATTATCAATTTATGCCAATATATATACTAGTACCAGTCGATGTTATCTGTACATTTAAGCAATATTTTAAACGTGTTAATTGTCATCATTGAATGAATGAATTAAATCGAAATAACAAATCAGGTTAAATAGTTGTCGACAAGGGCAAAATCAAAAACATGCATTAGCTGTTTATAGTTCGTTGGCGGACTCGTGCTAGCAAATCACAACCACACAATTCTTGAACTGATTTATACGACATTTACTTCTTTAATAGGACAGAAGCTTGACTCCTGCTTAACACAATCATGGAATACCAGAAGTGACTTAACTACATACAAATGTGAATATTCTTTAATTAAGAAGGAATTTGCTCGACCAATTGGTAGTATTGTTGTAAAGACTGACAGTGACACATGAAAATGAGCCATTAGGGACGACACGAATAATCGAAAGCTAAGTTGATCTCGAGTGCTAACATTATTGATCGCCTTCCAATGTATCTACTTGCTTTGTTTGTCCGCTTTATGAACGGATCTGGAATTCTCCTTCATAACCCCCTTGTGTTGATTAAGACAAATTTGACTTGCGATTAAAGAATGAATGTACTCTTCGTGGTTCTTCCAAGTTCTTCCACAAACTTAAGTAGTCATTAGCTGGCAATTTTATTTTTTTGGTTGCATATTCCATCATGGCTATACACCCTCATAATGATTGTAAAGAGTTGTCTGAAGATAGCATAGCGTAAAACTCTGAGTAACAACATGTTTTAGGTTCTGTTTTAATATCACAATTATATATTACATTTCAACGTTTGACGTGACGATAGGGTTGTATATGTACAGATGTAACATCGGTAGTCATTAACGAGAGTTGGGTTGTAAGTTAACAGATGTAATATTTGTAGACAACGCCCAATTCTAGATCGTCAAGAATCGTTGAAATCTGGAATGATGACGAAAACCAAGAAATTCCTCGCAAAATTGAAGAAAATAAAATCGATGACTTAAAATTACCCAAGCTATCCGATCAAGGAAGCTATATTTTCCCAGAAGGAGAGTAAAAAATTCCACAAAATTGGAGGGAATTTGTGATCAGAAATAGTTCTAACGATATGTGATGATTTACATGAAAGCTATATTTTTCGGAAGAGAGAGACACTCATATTTAAAAAGAATTTCAGCATGTATTTGTCAAATTCTCGTATCACAAACCAACGATAATAGACCCTAGTATTTTGATTATTTAGTTATACTGAAATATTGCTATAGCCCAATTAAGCATTGGAAGTCCTGTCTAACTATTTAAGTGTCAGGTCAAGTTAAATGTAGCGTTACGAACAATGTTTAAACCAATAATTCTGAATAAAGAGTAAAATACAGTAAAAGTATAATCAGTAGACAATAAGTATGGGTTGTCAACTCTTCTTCTTCGGCGCCATTATATAATTAACCTTCAGGACACAATCATTCTGCATTCATAGTTAAATCGATTCCGAAGGAAAAGACCTTCACCAAATATTGCGTGTATGTTGAACATGAATATTTTCTGGCTGTACCTGCAGATGCAAGCGAGAGTTGGATTAAGGGTCAGTTTCAAGAAAACTTGACTGATGATATTAGTGTTCAAATCATTTGGTCAACCACTAAAATTGATTGTAAATTAAGTTGTATGAGCCTATAATATTACTGTATTTTTTAAATTCGTGAAACAGACTTCAGGATGATGGCTTTTGAAAAGTATCTTTGTTGGATTTTTTAGGTAAAATATCAGTGTGAGTTTTTTTGTTCTATCCATGTACAGAAACTATCAACTTAAAGGAAATATAATAATATACAAAACTTCTGGAAGTTTGAGATAGGGCAATTAGCAATTTTGGTCATGGAATCCCTCTCTTTGTGCTGTGTAAAGAAATTTATTTTGTATATTCGAGTGGAAGAGTTTTCCAAGTGGAATAAACCCAAGAAGCAAGGACGAGGTCAAATGTATGATGATTACACAATGACGAAAGTGGATTTCACTGTTCTGTTAACATGAATGCTTCGATATTCATGTACAGTTATGACATAATAGATTTACATTATTCACGGTGTATTGTAGCGTTTAAGCCTTTATTTCCTCCTACACCGGATTGTATTTATTTCTTCAAATAAACACCGGATATAGGAAATCTGGACTTGATATCATAGATGACAGCTGCACGTGCCCTTTACCGCCAAAATTTGTCTGTTTCTAACGATATATATCAATGGTTTTCCTGTTTCCAAGGCGATCGATGAATTATTATAAATGATATTCCGAGTATTCTTCAACCAGTTAAATATCGCCTGCTAGTTC